ATGTGATTTTTTTTAGTAGGTTATATTTTTTTTATAGGGGTGCTAGTGAATTTATTTATGTTGTATTATTTTATTTTGGAGGAAAATTTTATATTGCTAGAGGTTGTCTTATGAGATTTTTCATTGTTAGAGGTAAAATTGTATTTTTATGTGGATTATATGTCAGTGTTATTTATATTAGTGGTTAGAATAATTTTCTATATTAACTTTTTTTTTTAGAAGGGTGTATATAGGAGTTAGAGAATAATAAATATTATTTTTATTATTTTGACTTTTTATTTTTGTAATTTCTATTATTTATTGTTATTTTGGGGGATGAATTTTATGAATAATTTTTATTAGGGGTGAGATATGTTGGGTGTAGTGTCTTTATTTTTTTAGTGGTGTTTTTATAAATTCTGAGATAAGAAAGTTATTCAGGTATTATTACCTGTTATAACAAATCGTTGAGGGGATGTAGGCTTTGATTTTTGTTCTTTTATTTTTTTTTTTTAAATGATTTATTCTTTTTGATATTATTAGAGAGGCTAGGTTTAAAGAATTTATTTTTTATTTTTTTATTAATAAGATGTTTTTACTAAAAGAGCTCAGTTTCCTTTTTAGAGCGTAGGCTTCCTTTAGCAATAGCGGCGCCTACTCCGATTTTCGGCTTTGGTTCATTCCTCAACTTTAGTAACAGCAGGTGTTTATTTATTTATTCGGTTTAGGGGGTTTTTTAAAAATAATAGCTTTTTATTAAAGTTAGTTTTATTATTAAGAGTTTTTACTCTAAGGGTGGCAGGAGTAATAGCTTTTTTTGAAATAGATTTAAAAAAGGTTATTGCTTTTTCTACTCTTTCTCAATTAAGTTTGATAATAATTGTTTTATTTTTAGGTAATGAGGTTTTAAGATTTTTTCATATTCTTAGGCATGCTTTATACAAAGCTATGTTATTTTTATGTTCAGGGGTGTTAATTCATGAGAGAGGGAATAATCAAGATATTCGAGGGATAAATAAAGTATTGAAAAGTAATAAGTTAGTGCCTAGAGTTTTATTAGTTTGTAGGTTGTCTTTAATAGGTTTTCCTTTTTTAAGAGGATTTTATTCAAAGGATTTAATTATAGAAATAGTTTTTTCTTTGAATTTTAATGTATTTTTTTTTAGGTTTATAGTAGTTTCTGTTGTTCTTACTGTCATTTATAGTTTGCGTTTAATTTATTATAGGGTTTTAATAGGAAAAATAGGGGGTAGGTTTAATTTTGTTAGAGAGTGAAATTTTATATATTTAGTTTTAATATTAGGAGGAGTAGGTGTCCTGTTTTTAGGGTCTTTATTGAATTGGCTAATAATTGAGAAATTGGAGTTTATTTTTTTAATTAAAAGAGTGAAAAGATTGTGTTTAGTGCTGGTTTTAATTAGATTTTTTTTTATTTTTGTGTAAATATGGATTTTTTAAAAATTTTAAAAAATAAGCAATACATATATACAAGATTTTTTTAGTTTCTTTTCAAGGGGCTGTTTTTAATGTTTTATTTAATAAAACCAATTATATAGTATTTTATTTTGAACAAATATTTGAGAGCTCTCACTCTAAAGTTTTTTATGTAAGTGTGGAAGATAGAATTGCATATTTGGGTCTGATTAAGTACTTTTATTTTTATTTTAGCTTAATAGGCTTATTATTGGGTTATAAATTTTTATTTGTCAAATTAGTTAGTTTCTCTTAGGTAAAGAGAGATTAGGGGAATGAAAACATATCTTTGGATTACAGCTACAGCTGTTTCAAGTATTATTAAAATAATTAAAATAAAAAAATAGTAGAGAATAATAATATTCTGTGACCTAGTATAGTGCTTAAAAGTGAGATTAAAATATGACCTGCGATTATGTTCGCTCTTAACCGAATAGAGAGTGTAATAGGGCGAATTAAAGATCTAATAGTCTCAATAATTACTATAAAAGGGCATAAAAGAATAGGGGTGTTTAAAGGGACAAGGTGTGAAATCTTTTTAAAGGATTAAAATTCATCTTTTTAAAATAAGTTTAATCATAATGGCATGG